AAAGGCAGCCTGAACAAGGCAGAAGGCTCGATCTGGCAGGCTTAAACAAGGCAATCTGATTTCATTCGTAGCCGGACGCCACTCGGTGATCTTGATTACTCCGTACCGTCCACCGGTTCAGAACCGTCACTGTTCACTAGACGCATTTTTTGTTTTGTCAGCGAACCCCGTTTATGGTCGAACCCCCAATACGAGCCTCCGAACTCCCCTCATGTAATCACTACTAATTAGATTGTGACCTCGTTAACTTCCCGATGGCCTTCCAGTTGATCAACCTTCATCTGAAGGTAGTAAACAGAGTCACTGGTTCATCGGGGCCACAATAACTGTGACCGTTATCAAGCTGTCTACCATCGCATGTCTGATGCAGAATGCCCCGCGCTGAAGCCGCGGCCCGGGGCACACAAGATGCCTGCAATGGAAACTGACACCATAATCATCGGTATGTCGCCATTCTTCAAGGGAGTGTAATCGTTTCTCGCCAATCACCGTGGCCTCTTCATTGACTTTGAGTGCGATTGATAGGGAACGGGCCATCGGCTATGATCCTGTCATTTATCCTCCATGGTCATCTCCCGTACTACTCCATAAACCGTCCGCATCCCGACCCTCTACTCCATGCGAAGCTTAAGGACAATCCGGACTTACTGGATGCGGATGTAACGACTTTAACCGAGCATTTCCATGCCTCTCGATTGTCGTACTCGACGCAGGCTCTCCCACTAAATGTACTACTTGACACACTTGTCCGGCCGAGCATCGATGTAGATGTGGGAGAGGGTGAAACACGAGTTGAATGGCGATACGTGCCCGAAAAGGCCGTCCCGCACTTGGTATTTGGCAATGCGCCGAAGGCCGGTGGTCAATGGAATGACAACCTGGTGTTCGCTAGCTGGGATATTCAAACTCTGAGCTATGCGTCAATGCTGTCCTTGCCAGGATATTCCTTTGCTGAACACTACCACAAGGTCAATGGCAAAGATCTTCCCGCATTCACGCGGCCCACCAGGAGGGAGATTATGGACTATTTCAGCGCCTATCCTGGGACGGTTGGAATCGATGACTCTTTTAAGAATAACGAGACTCTGAGCGGTATCACAAGAACTGCAAATGGTTTCTTCATTTCCTCTCACAACATTCATTGCAAGCATCTGGTCTTGGCGAGTGGAATATTCTCGGAAGTGCTGCAGCCCCTTCCGATGCTACAGCCCCTACGATTTGTTCAGCCGACTCCGGAGATACCGCTCCTTGTCATAGGATCCGGCTTCTCAGCCGCGGATATCATAATATCTGCTCCGCCGGACCAGAAGGTTCTTCATATATTCAAATGGGATCCGGAAGGGCATCCCTCTCCACTTCGCAGCTGTCACCAGCGCGCATATCCGGAATATGCGGGAGTATATCGACTGATGAAGCGAGCTGCTCTTGCCGCAGAGCCAGCTACAGCCAAACGTCCCGGCAAGCCAAAGCGGACAACATCCTCTCGGTTCCTCGATAGTCGGGCCTGGGATACGGTTTACGAGGGACTTCCGAATGCAGAAGTGATCGCAGTGGAGATGCAATCGGAATCTGCAGTGGTAACTTTTCAACTGCCCGACAGAAGCACAATAGAACGGACCGTCCGCGGGCTGGTATACGCTACTGGCCGTCGTGGAAGCCTTGCCTACCTGGATAAGCCCCTGCTTTCCGAGGTCCTTGGATGTCCAGATGGAACGGAACCCAGTCCCATCATATCGGGCAAGACATTGAGAGCAAAAGCCTGGGAGGATCTCGAAGTCGCCGAAGACGTTTTTATTATTGGGAGTCTCACCGGCGATTCCCTGATCCGGTTTGCCTACGGCAGTTGCGTGCAGACGGCAGGTCGACTTATAAGAGCACATGCCGGGGATGACAAATCCGAGTGTAAAACACCAACCTCTTCCAGACCTCAAAGCTCATCTTTGCGTGTGATGAGCGGCATGGAGGGTCACGAAATCTATCAAAGCGGTGATTATTATCAGCAATTGGAGAAGATTGATTCCGAGGCAACAGCTCGGCCCCCCTCGAGTCTGGATGGCCTATGGAGCTGGATGGTGAGGTTTTGGAGGTCATAGAATCAGCGCGCACGTATATACTTAAGCATTAGATATTTCATGACTCTGTCAGAGCTCGCTGTGTAATAGTCGCTCGTATTCTCAAATACTACATCATTGAACATATTGAATTAACATATTGCAGAGCGTATAGCGCTAATTCGGGAACAGGCTAGGTTACAGGGTATATATTATCATTATCATAACTAGGTTGGCAAATTCTTCACCCTCAACTATATCCATCACTAACCCATAATCTGTAGTTGATCGTCTGGAGGCCAGCGTGTCTGCGCGAAGCTTAAGCAGCGCTTGATACTCTGCAAGAACTTTCGGGTAATCTCGTCACTGAGGATATGTGCCTGTTGATCACCCTGGTGCAGCTTTTCTCGGGCTGATCGCTCGTGGATACCAACCATAGTCACACCAATAGGCCAAGCTCTGTACAAATCGTTAGAATAGAGTTGCATGCAGAGGTAGAGCTTCACTTACGCTTTTCCGATACTGACGCGTAAATATGCGTCATTGGCATCAACATATCTTCGCAATTGAGCCTTGTGCACGATCTCCATAATGGGCTCTAACAGGGTGTCGTCTATGTCATTCTTCTCAAACTTCCGGAAGAGTGGCTTCAAATTTTCCCTCGACTGAACCATCGCATTGTAGGCCTGACGACCAGTTAGACTCTGCTTGACCGATACATCCCGTCTTGCGAGAGCACGCTCCCACTCCAGCAGCACCATGTTGAAGTACGAGGCCAACTGTCGGAACAAGAACTTGCGACCATCTGCGTCCTTCGGAAGAGCAGTCGGAATCTTCATGTCCACCTCCGATACTGGTTCCAAGATAGTAGGGATAGGCCCGTCCGTCAGCTTCGGCTGAGGTGTCATCGACCGACGGACGAGACGGCGGTATCGCCGCAGACGAGCGACATGATTCTCTCCAAATAGACAGATAGGCTCCTTGAGATCGCGAAGTTTCTGGTTCAGCTCCTCGTCCGGTATGTCCACCTCTTCCTCCCCGAGAGTCGACTCATCCTTCTCGCCGGCGGGCGGCAGTTCAGGTAGACCCAGTCTCTTCCTGCGCTCTCGCTCTTTCGCTGCCTCTTCTTCCTCTCGCTTCTTCCGGGATTCCTCGGCTAATCGCCGTCTCTTCTCTTCGCGTTCGCGTTGCCGCTCTGCTTCTTCCTCTTCCAGTTTGCGTTTCTGAGCCTGGCGCTCCTCGCGTTCCCGTTGCAGGCGCTCCTGTTCCGCATTGTAGGCGGCGATTCTGGCGGCTTCGAGTTCGGCGCGTCGGACGTACTTCTTATCTTGGGTTTTGGCGGGCTCCGTTTGCTCTGATCCTGATGATGTTGAGCTGGGTGTGGCGGGACTTTTGGCCTTGGAGATTTCCTTGGCCATCAAAGATGCGAAATCCATGGCTATGTTTTGAACAGACTATGTCAGCCGCTAATTATGCTGTCACAAGTAATCAAAAACGTAGCGTGTAATGAGAGTTGCGGGAGATGTAAAAATTGATCTTGAAAGCAGCGGTGGTGCAAGCTGCCAGATTCGGCGGGCGAGCTTCTTTCCTCCGCCGGATAGCTCTCGCTCTCGTGACAAGGCAACACCTCAACCACCGACATCGCCAGCTCGCAGCCGCACGATTGAAATCAAATTGCTCACTTTAAAGGAATTGGAGGGTCATATCTTAGCTTTCCGAATCGCGTGACGACCTCGCCATCATGGCTGCACCTCGAGATGCGCCCAAACCGCAGATCGACCGTCAAAAGACCACACCTTTCCACCTGAAGCTCTTCTACCGCGTGAACACCTTCCACCCACTATCTGACTTTGCCGTTCCCTCATCGCCATCTTCCTACAGTGGGCCGACCAGCGGTCCTAATGCCATTCGAGCTCGCTCCCCTCCCCCTGCACCGCGACTCCCTCCGCACCTGGAGATCTACACCTGGCAGTCCTGCACGCTACGAGAATTAACCCAGCTCCTCACCTCGGCCTTACCATCCCTCCTGCCCGATCCCGCTGTCGGGACGCGCATATGCTTCCGCCTGATCTACCCAGACACCAAGAGCGCCGCGACAATGGGCGGCGACGCGCGAGGGCGATACCTGAGCAAGGACATGGGGAGTGTGGTCGTGGGACCAAAGGACAGTCCCTACCGTGGCGAGAATGACGAGGAGAATGGGAGCAGTGCTGCGACAGGGCCCCGTGCGCTGCGGCTGCAGGGTAACGATGCGGACAAGACACTGCAGGACTGGCGTTTCGTGATTGGAGACTATGTGGATTGCGCGATCCTGCCACCGCTCGAGGACGGCTCTGTTGCTCCGCCGCTTATTACGGGGCGGGGACCGGTCAGTGGGACCGTTGGAGGAGGTATGAGGGCGTTCCGTGATCCTGGGTTTGGACGGCCTGGTCGTGGAAGGGGTGATCGGGGGATACCTTCTGGGGATTGGAGGCGCGGTGAGAGGCTACCGGAAGGAGGAGGGCGCGGTTATGGTGGAGGGCCTGGGAGAAGGGGGTGGGCGCCGTATTAGACGTGCACTGAGTTGTATCTTTAAAGCTTACATGGAGTTTACGGTAGGAAAATCAGTTCAGATTTACAGTCCAGGGGAGTTGCTTATTCTTGATACCAATCCATTGACGGCTGGGTTCATTGCTTCTCATACACAATTCGATTATAAGACGCCTGCTTCACGTCTGCGTCTAGAGTCTGCGAATGTAACCAATTAGACCAGAGAAATGGGAGGTCGGGTCTTCAAGAGGGAACGATTGAACAAGAAAGCGAAGTCGATGCGGTATATTCTAGTAATAGGTACAAAGCCAGCGGGTTGGCGCACAACTCGATCTCGTACCCGCCCTTTCCATGGTGTCTGACTCACAGAAACACAATCCTGCAGAGTTCACCTCCCCTCAAAATAAATCAACGGACAACCTAGTATTCGAGAATGGGATCGCCTCGTCGCTTCCCGCGGAATTCGTATTTGCCCTGTTCCGGGTCAGTTACCAGCATCCTCGTCACATTCCATGATTTGTAGCTTCGCAAGGACATACATCTGTCTTGTAGGCAATGTAGCCCAATGTACCGGGGATCGCAATCATGTAGATGAACGATAACCAGGCATGGCGCGGGGTCCAGCGGAAGTACTTGTAGCGGTTTGCGTTGAGTTCTGCAGAGCATTAGTCGTCGACATAGTAGATTCTCGCGCACGATATCAAGGATTCAAATGGCGCATTCGCGCTATCTCGTTGATGGGCTGGAGGGTAGGAGTAGGACGGAGAGATGTACCGTAGTATTTCTGGAAGGCCGGGTCAAGGACCAGGGCTGCGGAGCGATTGATCAGCATTGAGATAGTTTGTCACTTCCGGGGAAAACCACTTACACTTGCTAGGGCCGGCCATGGTCGCGACGTCTGCAATTCAGGCGAGGCCGAGATACTCCTCTGATGGTGGTGGTGATGATATCCATGAAGTTCAAGTGGGCGGTCACCTGATCTTGGCTTGCTGAGTCAGCGCATTGCTGAATTGAGGCCTGAGATCGCTGGCATCCACTCGGTTCCCTTCTACCACTGATTACGGAGTATAATAGCTGGAATTGGGGTTACCATACCGTTGTTGTGGCAGCACACAGCTACTGACTCACTGATTTAAAAGGCTTATATCAGCATATGATCGTAAAAGTGCTATGTCTACAAATGGATATTGATCTGAATTGACCCGCACATACATCGATGACGCCAGCCTTTAGATTTTCACGGGGGTAGATGGTGCTGGGCCGACGGATTCATCCGAGGTTGAGCTCCAACCTTGGGATTATTCATGAAACAGGTCTAGAAGTAGTGCCGCGGATCCTGAGCGAAGATGTAGATCAAAGATAAAGGCTTGCGTATCTGCTGTTGCCGACTAAGCTTTCGACAGTGTTCTTGTCCATATTGTGTCGGCAGCATCTGCTTTCCATAGACCAGCATCACGCAAATTACTTCGTATACACCTAATCATACAGTTACTCAGGCAGCAAAATGGCAGACGCAAACAAAGGCGCCAAAATCACCCTCTACTGGTACCGCTTCTCACATTATCAAAAACATCAACACAGACTAACACGCCACCACAGGCTGGAACATTCCCGCGCACAGCGCATCCTCTGGCTTCTCGAGGAACTGCACCTCACCTACGAGCTCAAGACCTTCAAGCGCGGCGCCGACATGCTAGCCCCAAAGGAGCTCAAGGACATCCACCCGCTAGGCAAATCCCCGCTTCTCAGCATCGAGACCCCCGGCTCCCCCAAGCCGTTGATCCTCGCCGAGTCCGGGCTGATCATGGAATATCTCTGCGATCATTTCGGGGGCGATGAGCTCAACCTTATCCCCAAGCGGTATGTCGCCGGCAAGGAGGAGCATGTAGGCGGGGAGACCGAGGAGTGGATGCGGTATCGGTACTACATGCATTACACGGAGGGCAGCTTCATGCCGTTTTTGGTGATGCAGCTGGTGATGGATAGTGAGTTTATTTTCCGGTGGTGTTTTGTGGAAGTGATGGAGGTGATGGCTGACACAGCCCAGGCATCAGGAACGCCCCCGTCCCGTTCTTCATCAAGCCGTTGACGGGCATGGTCGCTTCAAAGGTAGAGCAGGCGTTCGTCACGCCCAACTTAACCTCCCACTTTCAGTTCCTTGAGGACCAGCTGAAGACTGCGCCGGGAGGCGGCCCGTACCTGTGCGGCAAGGAGCTGACTGCTGCTGATATCATGATGAGCTTCCCTGTTATTGCGTCCTTGATCAAAATGCCTGATCTCCGGGCTCGGTATCCGAGGTTGGCTGAATACACGGACAAATTGCAGGTGATGGATGGGTACAAGCGCGCTGTTGCGAAGGTGGAAGAGATAGATGGATCGTTCTCTGCTTATGCGTGATTGAAATTGCTGGGTCCCGGGGTTTCAGGCTGAATATCTTTGTTTTGTCGTTGCTGTATATCATCACTTTACGTTCGTGAAAGCTGGACTTATGCTTGTAGTAATCGCTCTGGATATGGGCATTTGCCGCTGTAAGAACACAATGTCACTCATAGTAATTGGATGAGTACAAATAATCGCCAAGCCATCATTGCTACTGGCCTCTATAGCAGAGACTGAAGCACCAAAGTATAATTAAACCCAGTCTAGATGTTATGTTCTCGAGATAGGTGTTGAATCTGGTGGATGCAAACAGAGGGACGAACACAAAAGAAAGCAAAGATAATGAGGGGTATCAATTTGCAACAAGCCTTCTGAAGAAAATTCAGTGCTAGATGTCACAGTTCAAGGGGTCAATGCCAGCTGAGATGACAGCTGGTCGACGTCCAACGGCATCCACATGGACTCCGAGTTTCTCCATCTCATGAACATCCAGGATCCCGCGTCCATCAATGACCAATTTCGGTGCCTTCATGTTGTATGCTATGCGTGCCCATTCTACAGGTTCGGTAGCAGTGGGATGGCTGGCTGTTGAACGGCATGCTTCACAGTCGTCCTCGCAAGCTTCTTGCGGGGGCAAGCGGTATGACAGGCCGTTGCAGGACCAGATGTCCTCCTCTGGATCTTTGGATGCTATGGCTTTGGGAAGAGTGTCAACGGCCTTATTCTCTGTCCTCGGCGCAAAAGCGTTCAGCTTCGACTTGGTTGGCATATTCCGAAATTGATCACAGTCCGAGATGATGAGGACTGCGTCGGCTTGAGAACAAGCGTGGTACGGATCGGGAAAGACTTTGACTACCCTTCCGTCCAAGGCGCCGCAGACGCCTTCAACCTCACGCATGATGTCCTTTTCATGGCAGAAGGGATCAAAGATCGCAATCTCCATGGGCTTTTCTTCCAGGAGCAACCGGATCACGTCGGCTGCTAATGACTCTCGTGTGTCGCCGGTGTTCTTCTTGAAGGCGAAACCAAGCATGGCGATCTTTCGTCCGGTCAAGTTACCATCGAATCTCTCGATGACTTTCCTAGCGAACCGGCTGCGCTGCATCTCATTCATCACATTGACTTGGCTCCAATAGTGAGCCACATCTTCCAAGCCCAACGACTCAGCCAGATAGGTCAGGCTGGCTATATCCTTGCGGAAACAGGAGCCGCCGAAACCGAGACCGGCTTTGAGGAATTGAGCTCCGATTCGAGCATCAAGACCGATAGCTTGGGCTACTTGATCAACCTCAGCCCCTGTCTTCTCGCAAATAGCACTGATAGAGTTGATGCTGCTGATTCTTTGGGCGAGCATGGCGTTGGCTACAAGCTTTGCGAGTTCTGACGACCATGCGTTGACCTCGAGGATGCGCGACGACGGCACCCAAGATGAGTAAATCTGTGCAAGAGTGCGCGCTGCGTGCTGTCCGGATGGTGTTCCAGATGATCCGATGAGGACACGATCGGGTGAGATGAGGTTCTCAATAGCGGAGCCCTCGGACAGGAATTCGGGGTTCGACAGTACCTCGAACGGCACGCCGGGTCTCAGGGTGGCCAACTATATATTGTCAGATTGGGGTCAATGAAGAGCAGGCACATGGGGTCAATGAGTACTTACCATGTTTCGAATCCGCTGCGCAGTACCACAAGGAACTGTGCTCTTCTCGACGATGATCGTGCCTGGTTTTGCATAGATGGCTATCTGCCGCACAGCTTCATCAATAGCTGCCATATTCGTCGCTCGACCAGCGCCTAGACCAAATGTCTTGGTGGGCGTGTTGACCGCAAGCATAATCATATCTGCTCGCGAGATGCTTGCCACCGAGTCACTTGTGAAGAAAAGGTTTGCGCGCCGCTTCAAGCGCGTCGCGTTGACCTGGGACGTAGTCTCGTTGTTGACAATCTCCGCTCCATCTCTCGTCACTCGGACGACGTCGACCAAGCCAGGTTCATGTACAGGAAGATGTGGTGACTTCCACTTCCGAATGCGAACAGGGTCTCGGTCCAAGACTTCCACTGCTATCGACGGGTTGTAAAGCGCCAGAACGGCTGCGGTTGGCCCCCCTGTAACGATGAGTCTTCCGTACAATTGAGAAAGTGAGACACTAGCATGAGCATACCGACGTATCCAGCGCCCACAACGCAGATGTTCTTCACTTGCCCCCAGGCCGGAAAGCTTTGTAGTGAAGCAGAGCAAGGAGAGTGCATGAAGTGCGACAAAGCCAGATCCTCCATTCTAGAAGCACAAAACAGCGGACTTGAAGAAGGGGTTGTAGGGCGCGTTGAGCCATCATATGAGCTCGCATCTGAGGATCCTGCAGGGGACGACGGGAGATCCATTGCGACTGCTTGAGTTTCTGTAGCCATTTCGATCATGACTCCCTGGTCGACCATCATAAAATTTCCATAGATTCACTGCAGAAACGGGCGCAGAGCGTTTATAGACTCTTAACATCCCGACTTCACCCTTATCGAACCCCCCCTCCACCGAGGGGCGAAACAGAAGGGCCCCCGCGGGCCTTGTGATCGTTGCCGCCATCCTCCTAGCGCTTGAAATGGTCATGTAAAGCAATAATAACCAAAGGTTCTTGAGTGTGTAATGGACAGTTGAGTCGATCGCATGGATCCCCAAAGAGCTTGACTGTTGGGTGCACGCGGGGGGATTCGCGGACTGCCACTGGTTGGGAGAGCGGAGAGCCTCGCAGCAGAGGGCGACAAAGAGTTGACCCACGTGCAGCCACCGCGGCTTCCTACACGAAACATTGCGCTCTGGCTTCAACGTTGCAATCCGGCACAAGCACTTTCTTATCTGCTGTGATCGCCGATGATTGCAGCATTTGACTTTGGATGGAAATACTGGTTCCGGTTACTTCAGGCTCGCATCATGGCTTTTATGTGGGCAGGTACTGCCAGGTAGATCTGGGTTACTGACAGGGTTACTGCTCTACAGAATATTTAAGACACGAATTTTGGTGCGCAATACTTCTATTAAGGTATAAATGGATAGAGAGAGCTTTCCTCAGTCTCTGAAAGGGAAGAAGGTGCTGTTGACCACCGAATCACTTGGTCCTGTCAACGGAGTCAGCCGAACAACAGGCAGTCTGATCGACTATCTTCGTCGCAATGAGGTCGACCTGATCGTGGTGGCACCTCAATTCGCAGGTGCCCAACAGCCCGAGCAACCAGTGGCAAATTTGCGAGTGCCAGGTTATCCTCTCCCATACAACCCAGATCTGACGTTGGTGTACCCGTTCCGCCTGAAAGATGTCTACAAGGAGACCGTCCAGCCGGATATTGTCTATGTGGCAAGTCCAGCATCCTTAGGTTTCCAGTTACTCCTGTACCTGCGGCAGCTCCAAAAGCCACCCGTTGTGCTGCTGAACTTCCAAACCGACCTGTCAGCATACAGTGAGATTATCTTTCCAACTCTTTTGAGTCGGTGGTCAGTTTGGTTGCTAGCGACGGTGCAAGGCTTCCTTTTCAGCGATCCCGCTGTGCATACCATCTTCTACCCATCGTCATGCATCTTAGACTATCTCAAGAAGGCCGGGGCGCCCGTCGCACGAGCCGTCAAATTGGGACGAGGCGTCGATACCACCTTATTCAATCCCTCTCGTCGTGACGAGGCCTACCGGAAGGAGATTGCGCCTAATGGAGAAATCATCCTTGTCTGCGTGTGCCGGCTAGCCCCAGAGAAAGGATTCGAGTTCCTGGCCGTGGCAGCAGCCAAACTTGCAGAAGAGAAGTTGCCGTTCAAGCTCTTGATTGTCGGAGGAAACCGCAATCCGGACGTCGAACGTAGCATTCACCGTCTCTTTGATCACGTCAGAGATCATGTTGTTTTCACAGGCTTCTTGACCGGAGAACCACTGGCTCGTGCATATGCTTCGGGAGACCTTTTTCTGCACTGCTCTATTACCGAGACTTTCGGATTGGTGGTGCTCGAGGCGATGGCCAGCGGGCTGCCTGTTATCGCACGGGACCAGGGTGGGCCGTCGGATACTGTACGCCACCAGGAGACTGGATACTTGGTCCCTCCAAATGACATTGAGAAGTTCGTTGCTCTCGTGCGGCAAGTATCGCGCGACTCTCAGCTTCTGTCGTCCCTGGCTGTGGCTGCCCGGGCATATGCAGAAGATACGACGTGGGAGAAGATTAACCGCAGGGTCGCCTGTCAGATGGCCGATGCGGTTGAGGAAAGAGAGCAGGCAAAACGAGTTCAATTGGAAGGCCAGGGTAGATGGTGCGCTGCTTACGACAAAGCCAAAGACAGGACCGTTCTAGCGCTCGTTGAGAGACTCCGACTTATTGCTGCTTTCGGGTTTGTGTGCTTTATGTGGATGATCTCGGTCGTCCCTTTGATAATTCACGGGAGCCGAATCATTCCAAGGGGTCTGGCACATATCCGCAGCCTGGCCTGTCTGCGTGAATGAAATGTACGTAATGAGAAACGAAGCCATAATGCTTGGTTATGAATAGGTTCTTGCCCATAGATGTGAAATGCGAATACCCAAGTGCTTGATGCGACTCTCTCCCAACTCATAGACGAACAGGCTCTGTATCCTTCCTAACCAGTAGATGGCCTTCGCGCACCAACGAGTTCTTGCATGTCCGTTTCAACACAAAATCCTGCAGATTGCCCAGCGTGACTCCCGCAATTTCACTCAGGGCCTCCTGCGTGAAAAATGCCTGATGCCCACAGACCAGAACATTGGGAAACGTCATCAGTCGCATCAACGTGTCGTCGTGGATAATCTCCGCCGAATGATCATTGTAGAACAGAGAGCCCTCCCCCTCGTACACGTCCAACGCCAGACCACCCAGATGGCCCGATTTGAGCGCCCGGATCGCAGCCTTGGTGTTGATAAGCCCTCCACGGGAGGTATTAACCAGCAACGCGCCCTTTTTCATCTGCGCCAGGGTCTCATCGTTGATAATACGTCGCGTGTCCTCCGTGAGAGGACAGTGCAGACTGACCACATCGCTCTGCGACAACAATTCGGATAACTTGGTGAACTCGCCGTACTTTCTGAACTCATCCCCTCCGAACGGATCATACGCCAGCAGCTTGCAGCCAAACCCATGGAAGATCTTCGCAAGTGCCAGCCCAATGCGCCCAACACCTACGATCCCCACCGTCTTCCCGTGCAGCGTATGCCCCAGGAACCCCTCGAGGTTGAAGTTCCCCTCCCGCACGCGGTTATACGCACGGTGGGTCTTCCGATTCAGAGTCTGGATCAGCGCCACGGCGAATTCGGCCACGGCTTCGGGTGAGTAGGACGGGACGTTGGCAACGAACAGGCCCAGCTCCTCTGCGACTTGCAGGTCGACATTGTTGAAACCGGCGCAGCGCAGAAGGATGGCACGAATGCCGTATGCGTGGAGAGATTTGAGGACTGTCGCGTCCAGTGTGTCGTTTACAAAGGCGCAGACTGCATCGCTGTCTTTGGATAGTGAGACTGTCTCTGCGGATAGAGCGAAGGAGTGATAGACGATCTCGCAGAAGGATGCGTAGTCTTTCTTGAGGGCACTGTCGAGGAAGAGCCTGTCGTAGGATTTGGCGCTGAAGACTGCTAGCTTCATTTTGATCCTTTTACTTGACTAGAAAACCTGAATCTAGGGGAGAGGAGAGACTGTAAAGTACTCTCTTCTGGGTTGCAAAAATGCAGTATGACGGGTAAGCTGTAAGATGGCATGATGTCTTCGTGTTACTGTGCCTCTGAGTGGATGACGTAGTATACATGGAGGAGAGAATCAATAATATATTAACCACTCTGCGCTAACCATATTTGGAAGATAAACATTGGCGATATCTTCAGTTCCAAATACCAGATTCTTGGTAAGCTGGGGTTTGGGTTACCTACAGTATGGCTCGCTCGTGATTTCGAGTAAGCAGTGCTGGTTCCAATTGGCCCCAGACCAAGACCAGCTAATGGGAAAGGTATTCCACCCGTGCACATCTTGCGGAGCACATCAAGCCCAGGCTCAAAACGTACTCGAAATGGGAAAATAGCTTTAGGAAGTCCTAAAGCTTACAGCATACTCAGGAGGGTTTGGGTGCTTATATGAGCGTTTGATGCATTTCCATTGGTACCATTCAACAACCTGTCTTCTCAACTGTTAAGGAGAAAAGGATGATCCAGTGTCGAAAGTACAACTCAATCAATACAAATGGACGGAAGAGGAGACTCATGATTTGTAAGGAACCGCACTCCCTCCTCGCGTTCTTCCTCGAAGCATTTGAAGCATACGGGCTGACAGCCGAAGACCGCAACACTATGGGCCTGACTCTGCTGAGAGAGAATACTAACAGCGGCCAAACGAGCGGCCCAGTTAGCATGGGCTCGAAAGACGCCAACCCCTTCCGGCACATCGAGTAGCTCATCCCAAGAATCGATAGAGAAATAGTCGTAGTTTGAGTCATGAGCGTTGCGTTCATGCTTGCCACACACATTCGCGACACGCGACAGTTGTTCAAAATCTATGCACGTAATGTCCAGGTCGGCGACCCACCTGCCTCGGTCAAGGACTGAAATGACTGATTCCACCACCATCACTTCCTGGTCAATTGTTCTCTCATCCCCTGGATTGAGTGGGAATTTCCAATCTGTGAATGAGAGGTGCAGAGAGGTACCAGTGAAATTGTCCTCGCGTTGAAAGTCATACGAAGCATGAGCGACTACGTTGAAGGCGTCGCTGGGCTTTCGTATCCTGGGTTCCTGCGGCGCGACCAAGAGGGTGAGACCAGGGTGCCCGATATTGCCCAGGATACGCCGAATATCGTGCGAGGCAGGCCGATCGAATGGATCGGAGAGGACAACTGCGGCCACGAAGATGGAGTCTTCCGAGCACAGCGCCAGAGCGGTGCCAATGTCTTTAGGGTCGAGATCGATCAGACCCGTTTCAAATCGGGCAATGCAGGAGAATGCATTGGCGCGGTCCAAATGAGGAAGCGCGGCCGGAAGAAAGTTAGCAGCTGTGCATTGGATCAGGGCAACGGGGAGTTTGGAGATTGTCAGTGGAAACCACAATGGGTCGGGGAGCCAGGATGCCTCATAGAGTGGCTGTGATAAAATCTTGAGAGAAACCGTTGCATCGCCCAGATTTTCATACACTTCTGCAGCCATGCTGAACCCATGGAGGGAGTTGCAGAAATTGATGGGCAGGAAAGAATATGCTCTCACCATGGACATGCCCGGTGCCCTTCTATTATATGCTGAATCTTCCTTTGGCCATGACCACGGATCAGTTGACTTCGGGGGTTCCTCCACGGCGATCAAGGAAAGATAATCAGCTAGCATGCCAGGGTCTATATTTGCCTTCTCGAATTCTTGTATTTTACTGGCCGGACTCAGTAGTCCTTTTGCCGCTGAGACCGCCGTGTCATGGAGCTCCATAGAGTACTGCTCCGGACCTGATTCTTTGACATAGAGTCCTAGTCTCCAGTCGCCGTATATCAGGATGTATTTAGTCCATTGCCTGCTGCATTCGTCCAAGGAAACACGGCCAGTTGCGGCTGACGGATCGAAGACTGGAAAATCTGGAACCTCTATGCTAATCTTGGGCCCCTTTTGGTTTTTCTGGCAGATGGGCTGGCTGGTCGTAATTACGGAGCAGTTTTCACCCTGTTCAATACACTTGGACATCAAGCTTTCCAGGGAGATTGGCTTGTTGCTGAACCCTTGATTGTGCAACCTATGACCTCGTTAATAAAAAGAGAACAGACAGAATATTCCATCTACCTTTTCATAAAAAGTCTGGAGTGGCGCTGCTCCGAAGAGAGAAGGTGACCGTCCAGGTCCCTTTTTCTATTTTGTGCGGCTTGAGCCACAGCGGAGGCAATCTCCCAATGCTGGACCATTTTTGGATCGGTGCATTGAGACGCTCCGAGCGCGTAGCATATCACCGCATCTTCTGGCCCGAGTCTCAACTCCACCGCCAGTTGTCGCAGATAGGCTATTGCGCAATCTCGATCGTTGTGTTGTGACAGAGCCGCCAGGGTCCGGTGATTGCAGATTCCAAAATAGGGAACCAGGAATTCGGAACGATCCAATAGGAAGGATTTGCCTCTTCGGTGACCATATTGAACGAGCTGCGTAGTGGTCTGTTTCATCAGCCCTCCACAGTGAAGCAGATCCTGGGCAGCATCAACGAGATGTTTGAGCCATTGAAACCGACTGCGAGCGTCCGAGGCCAATTCTCCAAGGATAGACCAGATATCCAAGAGCCACTGGGCGACTAGGTCAATCTCACGAGGGCTCATCTTCCACTCACGACACAGGCTCCCTAGGAGCACCACTTTGAATTGACGAAAGGTGACGCGGGTGAAGTCCTGCTTACTGCGAGCCACAACTGGGTCTCCATAGTATTTCAGATGGGAAAGCGTCAGAGACCATTTCAGGCCCCCTTCAAGGTTCGGGTCCGATGCCTCTTCGCTATTGATAGTTCCCGTCCCTCCGGGGGGGAAGAGTTGGTCGCGAAATTTCACATGGGTTGTCTTGTTCCCCAGCAGGATCAAATCGGGAAATAGATGCCACGAGGAGAAAGCCAAGAGGAGGGACCCATTCGAAATCATGATGGGTGTGCCGCCCAACAGCGCTTCCAGTCCTAGCATGGTTTGCTGCCAGGTACTGATTACACTGGCATATGTGGAGGTATTTGCAGGCACGGGGAGGGTCAGATTTCTCTGAATCAGGTTTAATTGCGCAACCTCGAATTGCTTTGCTCGATCTGCACTGCGCAGCCAGGACCTCGCACTATTGTCCCATCGGGCCAGGTCATCGCGCGAGATTTCCTGCCGGGCCGCGAAGAGAGTCGCTGCGGCCACAATCCTGTTCTCTGCATACGTCTGTTCAATCTCCTGTTTCCTCTGCTTGATGAGTTCGACCCAGATGGCAGTGGCCTGTTTTGCGTCCCACGCGCGGGCCAGCAGGCACGACAACAGGTAGACACCGATGGACGCCACTCCTGACGTCGCAGCCGCCCAGAGCGTGGTTCCATCAGCCCCTACATATGGCTCAAATGGACCGTCGATCCCGGAACCAGGAGGACTGACTCCTGGGGTTTGGACCACCTGGGAGACCCTGGTGCCAAATGACTCGATCAGTCTGGGAGAGTCTGGTATGAGATCCTCGAATAGAGCACCTAACCGGCGCGCGGTTCGATGAGGCTGACCTTCTTCGGCGTCCTGTCGACGACGACGGGATAAAGCTGATCCCAACGGTCCAAACTCTTTGGGTGCCTCGAACTTCAGAAGCGTAAAATCGAAATTGATAGCAGCTAGCTGGACATTATTTTCATTTGTCGCGGAGAATATTGAGTTTGTCAATTTGCCTAATGCTGACATGACTTCTTTCTCAGTGTGCTTTAGGGTGCGCAAAGGAACAAGGATAATCACTACAATGTATGCTTTTCGTTCACGCATTGTTTGTAAGACAACTGCAAATATATACATTCATTAGATGTTTAGCCTTGCCATGCCGTGTACCAGACGAACACAAGGCTGACTGCAATCATATGTATCTAGAAGTGTGGCAGGCTCTGATTAGCTTACTAGAAATTGGCGGCTGTCACCTGCGAGTCTCAGAAAGGCTAAGACAACATGTATGATGTGATAAGGCTATACATCTGTCACTTAAGTGAATGAGTCCCTAGTCTCTCTAGTGTGCTACGATACTCTACCTCCTCATTTGAGTCTAGAGGACTGCTTTCCGAAGACAGAAAGACAGCAAAATATCTGCTACAGGATCCATGGTTAAATGACGAGATAGAGTATTCCTTACAACTATACGTTAGCCAATGAGGAGCGTAAATCTTCATGTTTGTAACAGTTCCCCCGCAAAGGTTTAGGAAATTCCCATAGCTTGACATGGAGTGTGGGAGATTGGGTGTTGCCGAGACCATTATATATTTCCGTTCTTTGCAAACCAGGTGTGAACCTCGTTGGGTGATGACTCTGTTTCCCGAAGGTGGTAAGTGAATCCAAGGAAAATAGCTAACTAGCCAGCTGTTCCTGGTGACCTCGTTAGACTCAGTCGCCCGAGGTTGGTTAGAGTATGACCAGCAGTTATGATCTAGGCAACAGAGACACAAGTTTGTCTGCAATTAAATCATGAAGACATCTGCTTCTTTCTGATTGGTATGCAGTTGCTAAGCTTTGCTGGTGACTAATGAACCATTTATTTTTAAATCAATGGATCCTTTTAGCATACTTATTCAGGACAGCCTGAAAAGAAAGTGGAATCAGTGTGTACCAGGATGAGACGCGCAGCTTCCATCAAAACAAGCCTGGAATCCTGAATCCTCCCGCCTTGGAGTGTCCACTTCCGACTTGTCAGCTTGTCAGCATCCTTCAATACCCACTAAACAGTGAAACATTAATCAAGTTTGTTTTCTTTCTGAAGGGCGCAGTTTGTCTATCCGTTCCGGTTTGGCTGTTTCCGAAGAATAGATATAAGCCATAATCAGGTTCAGGGCCATTCCATAAATACACAACAATGTCTATCAAATGGTATCGAGTTGCATCTCATTTCACATATTCCAGAGTCCAAACACAGCCGTCGTTCGAAGACTTGTACATTACTGCATACTGAGTCTATATCAAACAGCCTCAATAATGCCGAAACCCTCATCAATGAACTAAGGGGTCACGAGCTATAAGCCAGTCGATTATAAGCTGCATTGGGAAGAATTCTCCGCCGAGAACTTTGATGCCTTGAGCCCTGAAGAGTTCGAGGTCTCGGAGTTCGCACTACTAAATAATAAGCCACCATTAAGCTTGTTCAATTGTTGAAGGGAGGAAAAGCTTAGGATTCACGATTCATAAGTATTTCCGGCTGTATGACCATGCAATGCCCAGACGCTACTAGCTGCCGGATAATGGCCGAAGGACTCTTAATTCAGAATCCTCCGGCAATGCAGCCCCGCATGTCGTAGCTGATTTACATGACTAGTTGGATGTGAATAGGGTCCAAGCCATGCATTTTGGCAGGCGCCGTGGCGATTTGAGCAACAACTCCGGAAAATCTCTGGGGATCTTCATGGCAGTAAGTTCCAGTTCCCTCCACTCGTTGGATAGAGGTCTGTTCTCCTCTCTTAACTAGCCGTGTTGACTGACAACTTTGTAGTATGTTTAAGGTAGTTTACCCCGTATATCCTCATACATCCGGTCTAACCGCAGGGGAGATGCTTGGTGGAGAAATTTGAAACACACCGTCTTCAAGCTTCCCGTTTCCCGGTTCAATGAGCATGCAATCAGAACTGATTTGGAAACGGGCCCGTGAACACTCGGCATAACTTTCTAAGAGTTTGGATTTGTGTTCAATTTGTGCAGAATATGGGAGTTGATACACAACTACTCCGTATACCGTCGAAATCCACCTATTGGTGTTTTTATTCCCAAACTTCCTGTCTCAGGCTGTTTCGACTTGATAGATGTCTCACAACCCGAGTCATAAATGGTGGAGAATCCCACTGGATATATACATGTCGTATTCGTACTCTGACACGGTCCGGCAGGGGGTTCAGAGGACTACGATTCAGGGACTGGTTTTGAGATCAACAGAGTCATCAAAGGCGAAGTATAAAATGGCTTTGATGGTCTTCCGAGCAAGGACAAGAGCAGAATCTCACAGTCCACACTGAACTTACAGCCATATACTTCCAAATTACTGCTACGATGCCTTCCATCAGCCAGCTTCTCGCCGCTGCTCTCACCACGGGTGCCTTTACCGCTGTGAATGCGGCTATGGGACCTGCCTTTAGCACTGGTCCTGTTGCTTCCAACTCCTGGATCCGCGAGGCAACCTCCACACTCGTCCTGCCCACCCTTAGCCAAAACAACAAGGGAGACCTTTCCCTTTGGGTCGGCATGGGCACCTCCAACGGAGACTTGATCCAATCCATCGCCGAGAAGTGGCAATCCAATGGGTGGAGTGTCTATGCCTACACGCTCCTGAAGACTGGAGGTCCGTTGATCTCTCAAAGCACGTCTCCTACCTAAAACATCCATGGCACTAACACACAGTCTATCTAGACAATTCGCAGTACCCTGTGCAGGACAAGAGCACCCCCGCCAAGCCTGGCGACCACGTAACGATGCACTGTAAGCAACAGCGACATATCCCCGCCTACGCTGTAGACATGCAGAACTAAACATTCTCCAGACAAGTACGATGATGGTACTCGCAACTACACGCAGACGGTTTCCCTGAACGGAAAGGTCGTTTCGACCCTCTCCACCAGCGACGGACATGCCCAGGGCTGGGGTAGCGCTGTGGAGTGCGCCGCAACCGACTGCGGTACCGTCGGTGCTCACTGTAAGTTTACACGGCGCTTCGCTGTTCGAAATCACTGGCTAACATACATGCTACCTCTCTAGCCTGGATCGACACCAAGATTATTCTGGATCGTGCGGATCCCAACTACAAGAACACCAACTACAAGGGCCAGGGCGTCACTGGCGAGATGTCGACTTCCGATGGCGGCAAGACCTGGACTGTTAGCACGATCCACATTCCTCAGTATACATTTTAAAAGCGAGCGGCAGACGTGCATTGACGGGGAGTACCAGTAGGAAAGCATAATTGCTCTTAAAACGGTTGTCTCTATAGCGAATATCTAAACCATTCTTGTTACATGGGCTTTCGACGAGCATTAGCGTAAGACAGATCACAGTCCCGGGCAGTATACTACCAAGTCTAAATTAATTGCCTAAATCTATCAAAAATACCGAACGTCTCACCCATGATTCAGCTCGCCCATGACGGAATCCCTTCCCAGCATGGCAATTCTGGAGAAGCCCTAAGACGTTTAGCGGATGATTAGGGCAGGATTGCAATATGCACATTGGTAGTTGCTGGAAAAGGTCAGTACCTAGTGTTGGTATCGAGATGAATAAACTACTGGGTAACTCGATCGTTAAATCCATATCGATATCCATATTCAATCCAGGTGGATCAGGTCCTATCCGGCCCGCCGCCATGTGGTGGAAATGGAACAAGCTAGATGGATCAACACAGGCAGTATACATATATAGTTACCTCCCCGAATAACAGCATTCGTTCAACAATCGTCTGAAAATAGGTTACCTCTTACTTGATGAAATTCCAGGTCCGCGAGAAAGCCTCGGTTGTGCAGATAGCCCTGCACTATTCGATGAGAATAGCATCCTATTCAGACTGGAGCAGAACAGCATCTTACTGTGTCAGATAATAATCATTATACCGAGATACTGGCAATTAGAGCCCTGTATCTAGTAGTTTGCTTTCTAGGCTATACTGCGCCTTTCATTTTCTGGGGTTATATAAGATGCACAGAGCAGTAGATTACAAGCAGCTGTGCATGGTAGACCTGAATGCTTTGCATTGTAGCAGCAGAAGGCTATAAAAAAGGAGGGAGAGACAAACTACCGCATTTTCCTTTCCCACAGCTTCCTGGACTTACATAAGTTAGTCTTTGACTCCACTGTCAAGGGCTAGCCCCTCGCCCCCGGCGCAGTAGCACAACTCAGATAGCACACTATGCAGTAGTATTTCGATGCCCTTCGGCTACCTTAGGTGGAAAAAGGCTTTGGAAATGGGACAAGCATTTTCTATCGCGAGGACTGCGGCCTTGAGATGATAGGATCAGTGTGAAAGAATATGCAGTGGCTCCAGCTCCCAAGTATTGAGCCGGACATTGCTGATTAAGGGGGGTGGAATGACGCGTAGATTTAACCGTATGGATATGACCTCACCGGAAGACATGTCATTCTTTGACGGTATGCCTGCTATACTCCGAGAGGCACCCCATGTCCTAGTAATCTGCTAGACTTTGGCAGAGAAGGTTCTGAACAGTCCATTGTTTATGGGCTAGTAAAGAAATGTTGATGTATATATCGTGATCTGACTGCGGAGCAAGTATATACAAGCTAGGTACACGATATATCTATGAAAGACCATCTGATAGGGAGCAGAGACATATTCTGTCCTGCTGAAGGTAGGGCTTTTTCTTTTTTTTTTTTTTTTTTTTTTTTTTTTAAAAAAAAAGCGCCATAACCTTTCATACCCTTATGCAGCCAGACTCAGATCTACTTATATACTGAGGCCTGAAATCTGCCGAGGTCACGGAATGATGGCTGCGCCATGTTCAAGAATGTCTCGTAGGATGAAGTTGCATCACGAAGGCTTCACAATCGTCATGCTGTCTTTGGAAAAGGAGTGCACCAATTCCCTCTTGACCGTCCGATAATCATCGAATGATTCCTCGTATGATTTGAGGAGTTGCTGTTTCTCTGAAGATGAGACGTTACTCCCCCATGACTCTGCAAGGTTTGCCGTGGCCTCGTTCTTATGTATCGGAGGCCAGGAATGACACAGAATCATGAGGGCTCCTAGGTCATCGTGACAAGGGCCATCGTGGTTTGCATCGTGCATCGGAATAGGT